ATGACATCCATAGAAAAGAAGAGGCGGGCGTTTTGGGGATTCATGGCGAGGGGCTCGTCAGTGCAGGCGCTCTACGAGCTCTGCAAAAAGACCTTCTCGCCTTCTGCCGCTGCTTCCTCTCCTCCTCCCACCTCCGCCATCCGAAAGATAGCTGCCCTCTTGGGTAAGCCTCTCTCTCCGCATTGTTCCTCTCTTAATGCATTTCATTTCTTTCCGTGCTTGTGCCGTGTTGCTTCTCTACTGTTTTCCTCTCAATTTCAATTGGATTTCTCTATTGCGAAGATTTTTCTCATCGAGTCTACTCAATTTGAGGACTTTGATGTTTTTTTCTCCGACTAGCATCAGAAACCCTAGTCCACAATCATATCATGTATAAAGGAAAATTAAAAGAAAATTTCGGAATACTTGGATCTCAATCGACGTTTAGGGTACCTGGATGGCGTCAGTAGTTTCAATCTCGATCATTTTACCAATGCATGTCTTTGTGTTTGTATTACCGTGTTCTTTGAAATTTGCGATAGGAGTTTTTTCTTTTGGATATTTAACTAAAGGAAATGAAGCACCATACAAGTAGGTTTTGTTGTTTGTGTTTGTATACGATGCTTGTGTTTGTATCCATGATCTCTTTTTATGTCAAAACTGTTGTCCTACTTGGTGGTCTACATATTTTTGTGCACCAGTTTTGATCGACTCAAGGCTTGAATGGCCAAAAACATAAATAATCATTGAGGTTATTTCTAGCAGCTTCCGTTTGTAAACCTTAGACACTGTTCTCTTACGTTAAGATAAACCGAAAAGAAGTCATTTCTGTTTTATCATTTTTTAATCACTGGTTCTTGAATGGTATTTATGCTGTTCAGATACAATCAGTCCAGTGGAAGTCGGACTCAAAGCTGATGATCTGGAGGATGATAGGGGTCATGGCTTTTTTGGCTCAAGCATATATAAACATTCAACCAGGGTAGCTCGATGGGCTCAACCGATAACATACTTGCATATATATGAGTGCAATAGTTTTTCGGTAAGTTTCAATCGACCAGTCATGTTTGTCTCTGACTTGAAATTATTTTTATATCTGAGATTACAGTTTCATTTGCTTAAAATTTATATTCTTGATCATGATGAAGAGATTGAGAATCTTGCAATAAACATTTGACTAGGTGTAAGCCAACCTATTATTGATGAGCTGTGCAGTAATGTTATCATTATTGTGAGAGGCAAGAGGAAATTGCTTTATTTTTATCAGATAACCGTTGCAGACCCTCGCTGGCAAGAGCCTTTTGCACTGAGTTTGTCTATTTTTATGACTATCCTTTTCAGTTGAATATCAAATTTTGAATAAACTAAGGTTTGTACCATTTTGACATGGAGTAGGGTTCTTAAAGTCGGAAAATAACTTTTATGAATTGGTCACCTTTCCTTTCCTAAAAGGACATTTAAGTGATATGATTGTCTGTCTATAATGGAAACAAGCAGAAATCTGATACTTAACAAATTAAGGGCTGGAATTAATCATTTTTATGGCTATCCTTTTCAGCTGTATATCTAATTTTGAATAAAATAAGTCCTGCTACTATTTTGACATGGTGTAGGTTTCTCAAAGTTGGAAAATAACTTTGATGAAATGGTCAGCTATCCTTTTCTGAATGAACATTTAGATGATGTAATTGGTTGAGTATTAAGGCAAACAAGCAGAAATATGATACTTATCAAATCAAGGAATGGGATTAGCCATAATTTGTTACCTAATTAGAATATCTTTTTTGGAACTCCTTTAAATATATTGGGAAATAATGTCAGATGAATGAAATTTCTAGGAAATAAGAAAACAAGACCAAGATCTTATTTGATGAAACAGTGAATAGTCCGATAGATTAAAACTTGATAAAGTTATTTACCTATCTGATGGTCTTCATTTCTCCATTTCTTTTGTATAATACTAGGCCCTTGATCTTTTATCTGTTGATGCAGATTGGTATATTCTGCTTGCCCACTTCATCTGTTATTCCACTTCATGACCATCCTGGGATGACTGTGTTAAGTAAGATTCTGTATGGTTCTATGCATGTGAAGTCATATGATTGGATAGAGCCTGGCTGCGTGACGCGAAGTAACAAGCCAGATGACTTTCCTGGTCTGCTTTTAAGCTTTTAATAAATATTGCATTTCTATCATAATCCTGGCTACTGTTGAAGTTGGTTAAATTGTTTGATGTTTCTTGAGCCAAAAAAGGGTCTGATATTCTGAAGGGATTTTGACTTTTTTTGTTGAATTGTTGACGAACAGACTTTAACAGACGTGTATGGTATGATAATGACTGAAACATAAAGAGTCCAGTTTTCACATGTCAAACCTTTACTTTCAATCTTTATGGAGGTAATATATTGGTTGCTATTTTGACCTTTTTTGTTGAATTGTCGACGAACAGACTTTAACAGACATGTGGATGGTATGATAATGACTGAAACATAAAGAGTCCAGTTTTCACATGTCAAACCTTTATTTTCAATCTTTATGGAGGTAATATACTGGTTGCTAATGCAGTTTTTCAGAGTTATATTTGTGTTGGCTTCCCATTGTTTATTATGTAGCAGTTTTGGTTTTAGTATATCTGAATACAGATATGTTTCTGTCTGTTGACATGTGCGTGTGTCCATGGAATATATGTACTTGAATCTGTACATGAACATTTTACCAAACTTAGTTATGTGGTTCTTAGTATGACAACACATAATCACTCCTTTTATAACTTTGTTAGATTTTGATTTATGAACAAAGTGAGAGGATATTGATGTAAGCCTTGATATTAGTTCCCATCTCGAACTATGTGCTCAACCATCCTCCTGCAGTTTACAGACACATACATCACAATCCCAATTCCTAATGGGCTCAGTTGGAGTTGGATTCCTTCACTCTAATAGTGTTGGTTAAATCAAACTTCTAGGATGTATTTCTAAATTTTTCCAGCTTAAATCTAGCATAATCTAGCTAGACTATTCAGCAGAATTAAGAGGTCTGAGGACACTGCAAGCTTGAATAATTTTGTCATCTTTATCTTGTCTTTATATATATGTATGTATGTACATATATATATATATGTATGTATATGTATGTATATTTATGTATATGTATATGTATATATATATATATATATATATATATGTATATGTATGTATATGTATGTATATGTATGTATATATGTATGTATATGTATATGTATGTACGTATGTATGTATATTTATATATATGTACCTATGTATATGTATACATACATATTTCTTGTTTCTTTTTCATGCTCCTTTTTTTGTTGGGTGGGGGAGGGTGGAAGGATTAATACCAGGAAATAAGAGCTGCATCTTGGTATTAAAAGACAAAACAAAGAGTAATCTGAACTGCCTGCTTTCTTTTCTGCAGCTTTCTATGATACTAGGTTTGCTTGTAGAAGCTTGCTTTTGTATATTGGAGATCTTTGTAGTTCCATTTTATTTGTCCGGGCAAATTGTGTATGTGTTTTCACATCATGGTTTAAAACATAATCTTTATTTCCGAAAAATGTGTTTCAACTTTTCTTGTTTGTGCAGTAAGATTGGCAAAATTACACATGGACACTGTTCTGACAGCACCATGTCCAACCACTGTTCTATTCCCAAGAAGTGGTGGCAACTTGCATTGTTTCACTGCAGTGACTTCTTGTGCTGTTCTTGATGTCTTGGCTCCACCATATTCCGAGGAAGCAGGACGGTGTTGTACCTATTACCATGATTACCCATACTCCACTTTCAGTAAGTAAAGATTGCCAATCTTCACCAGTGTCTGCTTTACCAACTCTATACTATAGTTGATATTTTGTCATTTGAAATAAATAAGTGCAACGTTCGCTGATCTACAAACAGATTTTTTTGTTTAAAGTGTTTGTAGATATTATGATTATGAATACATGAATCTATGCATATTGAAATTATGATCATGAATACATTATCGTACAAAGATCTCTGTGCTTTCATATGATCATAATGCTCAGCCTGTAATCCCTGCCTGAAGGATGAAATAAGGGGAAAAGAATATAATTCTAACCTGAAGCTGTGTAGCCCCCTCCGATGGACTTATGCTTGTGCACATGTACACCTGATGAAAAGGCATGGGAAAAACTTTAACCAGTTATATATTATAAATGCTAGACAAAATCCTCTTTATCACCAAAAAGGTGTTCAACAGTAACACTTTTGAAGAAACAATTGGCTTTGTGCTGATAGTTTATCAATTTTTATATGAACGAGTTAGTTCTAATATGAAGCATGTTGGCCTTTATGTATTCATGACTACTGTAAATATATACTCTGAAAAAGAAACTTTTGCTACTATCAAGGCTATGGAGCTTTCTTACTTGATTTTAGAAGTAGCTGAATGATGTCATATGGAGGAAATTCTTGACTGAACTACTCGGTTGAATTGACTGGAGGCTTCCATTTTAATTGTTTATGAAACAACTTGTGAAAATTGTCCTTTGTTTCTTCAGAGAATCGATAGTATGTGACAAGTTTACTTTGACAGCACCTGTGAGTAGAATTTTAGTGAATGAGAATGAAGATGAATATGCATGGCTTGAGGCTATAGAAGCTCCAGATGATCTTCACATGCGTTCAGGCAGATATACTGGACCAGCTGTACAGGTATAGATTCAGTGCTCCTGAGATATATGAATACTCAAGCAATGGCCTTATTAATCTTGTGATGTGTGTTTGTATGCTGTTGGATTGAGTTCCTAACAACAGGAAGAGTCATGGTTTCCAGGATCATGCACTGTAGTCTGAAGTATCCCTTCTTGGTGCACATCAAGCTACAGTGAGAGCAACTCCTCCAGCATGAAAGAGAAGATGACAGCTCAATCTACAGGCCTAATCTGATTTGAAGAACATTGGTCCAATGTAACAACCTTATGCATGCTATGGTTTTGTTTTGCTACCACCGAATGAAAGTTTCTTATTAATTTTGAACTGGAAAGCAAAACGACTGTGTTATCTTTGCATGTTGCAGTTCAAGTTCCCTTGGTCCAGAATCAGACTGCTAAGTTAGCTTCAGGTTGTTTCTAACTTTATGTTCGCAGACGCATGTAAAAGATCTAGGACACTATTTTTATCTTGCAAATAAATCGGTGAAAGAACTTTGAGCCACAATGGCAACTCTTCTAAGCTCACATTATGGATGTTAATTTATTCATTTTGTAGGAAATTTATTTCTGACGCACTGATAATTTTACTTAACCATGTGGATGCTCTTAAATTTGTCATTCGTCTTAAAAGTCTTCACTGATTGGAAGCTGGAGGAATGTAAGGAGCACTAAATCCCTCCAAAATATTTATAGTGACTACTGATTAGTTTTGCTGGGCAAAGCTAGTACTTAACTACTGTTCAAGTGTATTTATTTATGACCTCTTGCTAAATTCTGATGAGAGATGCTGAGTAGATCAAACCAGCTGACTGGAAACTCTCAGGACTTTTGATTGTTGTATTAGATTTTTATTGGTTTAGGATCTTCTTTAGTGCAGAATTTGGTTGTTTGCTGTTCCGCCGGGTCATTGTGCATGCTATTCCAGCTTTGTGCCTGCCCCTTTTTGGCTTCATGCCACTTGCAATCCTTTAAATAGATGTTGGCCATTTCACATAATTGTTCTACAGATGCTTCAGCTTAACATCCAACATGTGCAGGAGGCTATTTTGATTGCTTAGATACTTTTTGTTGTCATTAGGTCAGATTGCAGCATTTGGATCTGACTCGAAGTGTATCATTCATGTAACCCACAGAAGCATATGAAAGAAGAAAAATCATGGTGGTATTTTGAAGTAGTGATCAATTACATGGAAGGAAAAAAAGACCACCCATTGCAGAGAACATACTAAATGTAAGTATGATCTTCGAGCTGCTTTTTAGGTCTGATGCAGACATGGGTTTTTGTTTTTTTGACAAAAAGGGATTGAAAATTGAACACAAGATCCCTGACTTTGTTGACTAAATCTTCTGATCTTTATTATACTTTAAAATCTCTATGACTTAATAATATATATTGGTGTCTTTATTAAATAGCTAATATGCTTCGATTATGAAGTTTGTACCTCATAAAATAATATTGATCATCCTAAAATCTCTTATATTATTTCCTGTTATGTGCATATATCTCATAACTTGATATGGACATAGTTTTAAAAGACATGCATGCCAGATTTCATATGTCAATTTCATATTTGTTCGCCAATATATATTGTTCTATGTGTTGCTCATTTACAATTTCATATATCCTTCCAAAACCACAAAGGTTATGAATATATATATGTGAAACAATTCAGAAATTACAAAACCATCATGTTAGACACTTTAACTACTGCAACTTGAAAGTAAACAATCCTTTAATATTATTTTTCCTCCTTGTTGTTTTCTTGACCGCAGATCAGAAGAAGCATCACTTAAGCACACAAGGGAAGTGGGTTGGAATCGGTCCAGTTGTTGCAGCTAGCATGACAGATTCTTGTTTGGTTCGAAGCTCATTGTCACCTTTAATCATGCTTGGTCTTTTCTCTCCATCGCACCGGTGGCAATGGGACTTTGACAGAGGTGATGACATGCAAGGTGCACCAAACACCAGTGATATCTACTGCCTACCTGTACAAGACGCACACCTTGTACCTAATTTCTTCATCATTCATTGATGCTGAGACCATCATGTTGCATGGATTCATCTTGAGATGGGACCTCGGTATCAGCAGTGCTGTCGGCAGCCGCCAAAATATTCTCACGTCTCTTCGTCCAAAAATGCACCGGTGGAGTGTAACGGAGGAGGCATTGTTCATGTGGTTTTGAACAGTGACAAGGTAATCTCCCTGGAAAAGTCATGAAAGCTATAATCCTCAGGGATGTGATGGATGAGTGCTTCTCCTTGTCATGGCACAAAGTCTCTCAGAAAAATAATGCAGGAATTAAAATGATCGATCACTGTCGATTCAAAGCTTAAGCTCTACGAGTCATGAAAGGTATGGATTTGTAATATTAGAGTAGATCTTGGTGAATCTTGCATTTGACCTCTGTCTCATCAGCAATATTTGCTTGTGGTTGGACACATACTAAATCGTATAGATCAAAGGCTGTTGGCATGTGTGGTGTTCCTTTTTCTTATATCCCACCTTTGTTTGTAGCCAAACGGACGGGAATCTAATTCTCCCCTCCCAACTTATAAGTGAACTATCTTTTGTTTATGTCCTTTCTTTTTATCCCTATTCTCTTGGTTTAGCTCACCCACCTCCTAGACTCTTATTATGACACCTTAGAACCCTAAATTATGACCATTACATATGCTTTGTGACACAGAAAAAATTATACCTTTTTTTTGTACACAAACTATCCTTGCACTCTTATTTCTATTCTCTTTTTAATCAACAATCTTAGAACTAAAATTATGCTTCACCCAACACAGTATGTGCTTTTATATGATCCTCAACTCTCTCTTCTCTAACACTCATTCCTATTGCAACAGAGGATGAAAAATATGTCAGATGAAGAGCCTAAATAAGGGTGTTTTATCATATAATGACTCTCCTATCAAAGACAATTTTGTCAAATTATTTATGGTTGGATCGCAAAGTATGATTTTTCAAGGAGTAATATCATAATAAATCAAGGGTTGTATATAAATTTAACTGAGCAGGGAATTCAACTCCTTCAAGCACTTGTAGAAAGAAAAAACTTGATAGCTATGCTACCAGAAGTAGGGGCATAAAGAATTAAGCCACACTAAACTATGTCCTCCATTTGGTGGAAAGCAAGGAATCAAATATGATATGTCCTCCCTGATTGATAGATGAATTATTTAGCATTATTAATCAATTAATAGGCCCTGGTGAATTCTTAAAATAATTATATGTTTTGTGGCATTATCATACAAAAGAGACTGATGTAACTCAAAAACTTCTATTATCATATGGTTAATCTTCATTAATTGACCATTAGCATAACAACATTGAGACTTGAATTGATATTAGTACTCCTCTCAAAATATTGAGAAACATTAATGGTGAAATAACTGGTGGAGATATTAGTACTCCTCTCAAATTCAGTAATAAACTTGAGTTTATTGGATGGAAGATGACAGAAATGGAATGCATGCAATATTAAATCTTGAAGGGTCAAATATACAATGTGTGAGAACACATGTTTCTGGATTAAATACCCTTCAAATAGGGTTGGTATCTTATCATCTTTCTACTTGTATGTGGTGACATGGACATGATTAATGTATGAGCCTACACTCTTAGAAAGTTTTCATTGTTTATGGATTCCCCCACCAAATATTTCATCCGTAATCAAACCTGCGTCTATAATAAGATATTGACTCCTTTTGCATGCTTTACTTTCCTCAACTTGTTCTTATTATGTATTCTTCAGTACCTTTCAGAAACTCTCTCTCTCTCT